CCTCAATAGAACCCTAGCAGCACAGCAACTAAGAGAAAGAATGGACAAATGGGACTTCATAAAACTAAAAAGCTTCTACACAACAAAAGAAATGGTCTCTAAACTGAAGAGACTACCCACAGAGTAGGAAAAAATATTTGCCAGCTATACATCAGACAAAAGACTGATAACCAGAATATACAGGGAACTCAAAAAACTAAACTCTCCCCAAATCAATGAACCAATAAAGAAATGGGCAACTGAACTAAACAGAACTTTCTCAAAAGAAGAAATTCAAATGGCCAGAAAACACATGAAAAAAATGCTCACCATCTCTAGCCATAAAGGAAATGCAAATCAAAACCACACTAAGATTCCATCTCACCCGTTAGAATAGCCATCATTAAAAACACCACCAACAACAGGTGTTGGTGAGGGGAAAAAGGAACCCTTGTACACTGCTGGTGGGAATGCAAGCTAGTGCAACCACTCTGGAAAAAAATTTGGGGGCTTCTTAAAAATCTAAACATAGATCTGCCATATGATCCAGCAATCCCACTCCTGGGGATGTACCCAAAGGAATGTGACACAGGTTACTTCAGCGGCACCAGCAAACCCATGTTTATTGCAGCGCTATTCACAATAGCCAAGTTATGGAAACAGCCAACATGCCCCACCACTGGCGAATGGATTAAGAAAATGTGGTATTTATACACAATGGAATTTTGCTCAGCCATGAAGAAGAATGAAATCTTATCATTCGCAAGTAAATGGATGGAACTGGAGAATATCATTCTGAGCAAGGTTAGCCAGGTTCAAAAGACCAAAAATCGTATGTTCTCCCTCATATGCGGACTTTAGACATAGGGCAAATACAGCAATGTTGTTGGACTTGGGTCACATGACAAGGGGAGAACACATACGGGAGGTATGGGGATAGGTAAGAAACCCAAAACATGAAAGTATTTGATATCCCACTGCAGAGGAACTAATACAGAAACCTTAAAGTGACAGAGGTCAACACGAGAAGGGGATCAGGAACCAGTGTAAAGATCAGTTATAGATGAATCAACTTAGGATGTAACACATTTGTACATAGAAGCAATGCTAGGAATCTCTCTGTATAGCTATCCTTACCTCAACTAGCAAAAACGCTTTGTCTTTCTTATTATTGCTTATGTTTTCTCTTCAACAAAATTAGAGATAAGGGAAGAACAGGTTCTGCCTGGAAGCGAGGGGGGTAGAGGGGAGAGGAAGGGGATGGGGGTTAGGAGGGAGAAATGGCTCAAACAATGTATGAATAAATGAATTAAAAAAAAGCACTACTCAACATAAAAGCTCAGATAGAACCCAACACAATAATAGTGAATGACTTTAATACCCCCTCTCTCACCAATAGATACATTATCCAGTCAAAAAATCAACAAGGAAACCTCAGAATTAATCAACTATAAGATCAAATGGACTTAATAGACATTTAGAGAATATTCCACCCAACAGCTGCAGAATACATGTTTCTCAGCAGCCCATGGAACTTTCTCCACAGTATGTCATATTTTAGGACAGAGAACAAGTCTTAGCAAATACAAGAAAATTGAAATAACTTCCTATATTTTATCAGCCCACAACAGAATAAAAGTAGACATCATTAACAAGAGAAACTACAAAAAGAAATCTAATACATAGAGACTGAACTTTTTAAAGATTAGTGGGTTACTGCAAAAAATAAGGGAAGAAATAAAAAAATTCCTAGAAACAAATTAAAATGAAAACACAATCTACCAGAACATTTGGGACATAGCAAAGGCAATGCTAAGAGGAAAGATTATAGCCATGAGTGCCTGTATTTTAAAAACTCAGAGAGACTTCAAATAACTAACCTACCAAGAACTAGCCAAACCTAAAAGTAGCAGAAAGAAAGAAAGGACACTAATTCAGAACAGGAATTAGTGAAGGGAGACTAAAAGAACAACACAAAGAATTGAGGCAACAAAGAGTTGGTTCTTGGAAAAGATAAACAAGATTGATAAACCTTTAGCCAAAGTAACCAAAACAAAGAGGAAGAGGACCAGAATTAACAGAATTGAGATGAGAAAGGAAACATCACAACAAACACCAAAGAAATCCAGAGGATCTTCAAGGAGTATTTAAAAAATCTATATTCTAATAGACTGGAAAATCTAGAAGAAATAACTTTCTAGATGCATTTGACCTACCAAAATTGAGACAAGAAGATATAAGCCACGTAAACATATCAGCAATGAAACTGAAGCAGTAATAAAGAGTCTTCCAACCCAGAAAACCATAGGACCAGACGGATTCGGTACAAAGTGCTACCAAACCTTGAAAGAATGATACCAATGCTCCTCAAACTACTCCAAAAAACCCATCACAAAAAAGGGCTGGGGGAGTGGCTCAAGGTGGAGGCCCTGAGTTCAAACCCCAGTACTGAAAGGCCTCTGCTCTAAAACGCGGAAGACAGATGTTGAAGAAGACACCAGAAGAAAGAACCCCCATGTTCACAGATTGGCAGAGTTAATACTGTGAAAATGGCTATCCTACCAAAACAATATTCAGATTCAATGTAGTCTCCACCAAAATTCCAATGGCATTCTTCACAGACAGAGAAAAATCAATCCTAAAATTAATTTCAAAACACCAAAGACCTCAGATAGCCAAAGCAAACCTGAGCAAGAGAACAATGCTGGAGGTATTGCAATACCTGACTTCAAATTATATTACAGAGCCAAAGTGACAAAGACAGCATGGTATTGGCACAAAAACAGACAGGTAGATCAACAGACGAGAACAGAAGGCCAAGAACTAAGCCCACACACTTATGGCCATCTGATATTTGATAAAGGTGTCAAAAACCTACATTGGCAAAAAATAGTCTGTTCAACAGATGGTGTTGGGAAAACTGGATATCCACATGTAGAAGACTGGAGCTAGACTGCTGTCTCTCACCCTGCACAAAAACAGATTCTGAACGCATCAAAGACCTTAATGTAAGATGAGAAACTATGAAACTGCTAGAGGAGAAACAGGAAAGACCCACGAAGATATAGACACTGTTCACTGCTTTTCTGAATAGAAACCCCAAATGCTCAGAAAAAAAAAGAGTAAGATTTGAAAAAAATGGGATTCCCACCAAATTAAAAGGCCTCTGCACAGCAAAGGAGACAGTGACCAGAATCAAAAGGAAAACTACTGGATGGGAGAAAATCTTTGCCAGTTATTCATCAGAAAAAGATTAATGTCCAGAATATATATAAAGAGCTAAAAATTAAATGCCAAAAGAACAAATAACCCAATTAATAAATGGCAAATTAACTGAGCACTTTTCTAAAGAAGACGTACAAATGCCTAATAAGCAAATGAAGAAAAGTTCAACATCCTTAACTGTAAAAGAAATGCAAATCAAAACTTTACCGAGATTCCATCTCTCCAATCAGAATGGCTGCCATCAGGAAACCTCACAACAAATTCTGATGAGGATGGCAGGCAGTGGAGATGAACCCTTATACACTGCTGCTGGGAATATAAATTAGTGCAGCCATTATGAAAATCAGGATGGAGGCTCTTTAAAAAACTAAAGATAGAACCATCCCTGGGCATATATCTGAAGAATACATGTAAGTCAACATACAGTAGACATGCCTGTACATGTTTATAGCAGTACTATTCATGATAGCCAAGATACAGAATCAGCCTAGGTTCCTGTCAACTGACAAATGGATAAAGAAAATGTAGTATATGTAAATACAATGGAATACTATTCAGCCATTAAGAAGGGTGAAATTATGTCATCTGCAGGAAAATGGATGGAGCTGGAGATCATCATATTAAGTGAAATAAGCTGGAGTGAGAAAGAAAAACATCATGTTTTCTCTCTTACGTGAAATCTAGTCTTTAAAAATGAGTAAAAGAAATGTAAAATAGGTCCTGTTTGGGAGTGGGAGTCCATGGGAGGGATGGAGGGTGAGAAGAGAAGGGGAAGGGGTGAGTGAATATGGTCAGAGCACTTCACACGAACACATGACAACAGAACTATGAAACTGGTTGAAATGTTTTAAGAAGAGGGGAGGAACAGAGGGGGTGAAGGGAGTGGATGAGATCCAAATATATTGCATGTGTGTGGAAGTATTACCACGAAACCCGTTGGTCAGGTTCAAAGCAGGATAATCTGATCTGAGGATAAAGTTTCACTTGGAGAAGTTCTTTTCTAAGTTCAGTGCTACTATAGAAAGTCTCTACAAACAATTCCCTTTTCAGAGGGGAAACTGCTTTCCGTATGCACGTGGACATGAGACAGCAGCAGCAGGTATCAGAACACAGGATTTAAACACTGTGCACTGCTTATGGTAGTTCCATCTGAGGCTGACTTCTGAGCTGGGCTCAAAATGTCTTGTCACAGCTGGACATGGTGGTGCATGGCTACAATCCCAGCAGCTCAGGAGGCAGAGGCAAGAGGATCACAAGTTCAAGATTAGCTAAGGCAAAGTTGTTATTGAAATCTTATCTCAAAAAATTTTTTTTAAAACCTCAAAAGGTCTGAGGATGTGGCACAAGTGGTAGAGCTCTTCTTGCCTAGCAAGTGGGTTCAATCCCCAGTACCTCTAAGAAGAAGAAACATGCCTTGTCACCAACACAGGAAGCTGTTTCAATACTGATAAACCATTGCTTCCTTGGAAATCACAATAGACTCTCCCCACTAACAACAAGCAGCAGTGTGCAGACTTTTTTTTTCCTACCTGAGCTCTAACTGCACCATATGGCTCTCAATCTGTATAAAATGTCTTAATGAGGCATTGCAAAAAGCAAGTACTATGTTTTACCCTGGTAAACATTTTTCCTTTTGGCACATGATATACGTATAACACATATCACATAACGTGTGTATAGAGATGTATTTTTTGAGGGGGTGTTAGGGATGGAACAGCACCCACGTGCATGCTAAGAAGTTCTCTACCACTGAGCCACACTCCCTGCCAAACACATATCTGTTAAGAGTTTTTTACCATTCTATCGAAGAGTCTACAGAGGAAGTTTCTTTTTGGTCTGGAAACTGTGGTACACTTCTTTCCTTGATTTGCTGGCAAATTTTCCTCATTTTCCCCTTCGCTGATGTCCTTGAAACATCCAGATTCAATCATCTGCATGCACAGAAGAGAGGCAGGGCAGCTACGGGGACTCTGTGAGTGCAGTGCTTCCTGGGGCTGGCAGCTCCACCCGCACCTGTGCTCAATGTGGGCCTCTCAGAGCAATTGGGCCTGCTCTGCTTCCCCTTCACTGCATTCTCACTTCCTCTGCTTCTTGACCTCTTGTTGGGATAAGTGATGTGAACTCTTGTTTCCTTTCTCCAGTGTACCCCCAAAACTGTTAACACCATGGGAGCCACTGCTGCCAGCCAGCCCTGCTTAGTGAGCAGGATCCAGGGTTGCCAGCAAATCCTTTTTGGACCCAAGATAGCCACCTTCTGTACACTTCCTGTAACTGGGACCGGGCAGCTGCCTTGCTTGTGGATAATTGTTGATGTGGTCTTGGTTTGCCCATGGTCTAACCCTCTGGTCAAAAGTCTAGCTTATATTTACTTCTCAAACTCTCCCATGTGCATGTGTGCAAACACATGCACACGCAATTCCATCGCTGTCGGAACTACCATAAACCTGCTCTGCTGAAAAGAGCAGTACCTCATTCTGCCAGGGGATGGAGACACACCCGGTAGCAAACTGAGCGTAGAAGGCGTCATCTGTGGTGTCCAGGTAGACTCCTTTCACCACGGAGAACTGCCCAATGTCCAACACATCCTTACAATAAATGGCGTGAGGCTGGATACCGAGAACAAAGAGAAGCATCAGCCTAGGAGCTATGGCTCCTAATCCCCATCACAAAGGGCGAGACTGTTAAAAAGTCCATGCGTGAATGCCACCACCACGCCTCTTTCCAGTCATTGCCAAGGCCCTTTTTCTGGTTCATATAAAGTCCTCTCTCTCTCTCTCTCTCTCTCACACACACACACACACACACACACATACAAACACATATCTCTGAGAGCCCCTTCTCTTTCCTGCAACGAAAAGCAAGGTGAAGGACAGGATGGGGTGCTTTTGTTGGAAGATGCAGGGCAGAACTGGAAAACTGTGCAGAGGCATGGAAGCCATCAACTTGGGACCCATTAGTGACAGTTCTCACCACCTGCCCCCCTGGTTCTGGGCAGTGGAGGTTTTTTGGAGCCTCCTCCAAAAGTGCCAGTTTACCATCTGAGTGAAAAGTGGCAGCACACTCCTATTCTGCCTGTCAGGGTTGAGTGATATCGGTGCCCTATCCATCTTGCTCTACCTCAGGGGCTGGCAGTCCCTGCTCTGGCACTGCTGTCCTCAGGAACAACAGGTCAGGCAAGCAGGCAGGGCCACAAGGCCTTCACCTCCTTCCAGAGCTCTCCTTGCACTTCTAGGGCTACAGAACCTACAGCACAACACTCTGCAGTGATGGGGCTCTCTGTAGTTCTGGGACATCTTACTGTAGGCTGGAACTTGCACAAATGTCAAGTGTTACAATCATAGCAGTCGTGCTCTGTAGGTCACTGGTCAGCACTGCTCTTAGAGCAGCTGCTATTCTCATGGACCCCCATGAGGTGAGGAACGGAAGGCACTGGCAATCCCCATCCTTAGGGCACAGTTCAGAGAAAAGCTTCTGGCCACCCCCCCAATTGCCTTAATTCTGCAAGTGAAACTTCCGTGTGTGTTACCATTAGCCTGCTGAACTGGCTCCCTGTGGGCTCATTTGCTTAATCTGAGGAGGACACACAGTCTGAGATTCTCTGGCTCCTGCCCATGTGCTCCCTTATTCTCCCTTAGCCTTCTGATGATTGCCTCCCCTGCTCCCGACACCAAGCAGCCCCATCTCCAGGCCAAAGAGCCCAAGTGAAGTCTTGGATGCCTCACTGTTAGGTAATGCTTTCCTGGTGAGTCAGTCAGTCTGTCCTACTGCTTGTCTCTCTTTGCCTGTTTTGCTTTTCCTGTGGCCTGCATACCTCGAGCTGTGCTTGGCAGGTAGTAGGCATCCATGAAATATGTTAGGTATTAATTAATTCCAAGGAAGCAGTTACGACTATAACATATGATACAAATATAAAGCAAACATAGCACGTTCTGAACAAGTCCTACAACTAAAACTGTGTTAATAGTACATCTATCTTAATCTCATCAAGCACTGCAAAATGACTTCACCCTCATGTCTCTAGAATGTGTGTGCTACAGACTGTTCAGGGTAGAGTCTGACTTGCATTCATTTCTCCTCGCATCAGAAGGAGTTCATTTACTATGCACCAAGCACTGCCAAGTGCCAGGCTTGGTACTGAGCACTGTGAAGACATGACCCCTTTGAAGTATGACCTCAGCATTCTCACAAGGAGGCAAAGTGACAGGTAAATGTGGGGCCATGCTATAGTCCCAGGACTTTGTGCAAAGTGGAGTGGGGACACACATTCCAGACTAAAGCAACAGGTGGGTACCGCGTGTGAGACGGTGAGCACAGGGACAGGGGAGATGCCTGCCCTGAGATCAGAACAGGGATATGGGACATGCAGAGCCTTGAAGAGCACGCTAAGGAGGTCTGAAGTGGTGCTGAGGTTTGCTGAGGGCAGCTGCTTGGCTGCACCTGCAGGGACAGACAGTGGACCCCAGGCTCTGGAGCCAGAGAGCTGCTAGGAAGGTTTGCCAGTGGCTGTGGGAGAGAGGAAGCAGCAGAATGGAGGCTTCACGGAGCAGGAGGCACATCCCGGCTATGTCATGTGGCTCAGTATCGCTTTAACCAAAAGTGTGCTGTGGGGCCAGCTGCTCTGGGCGGTGTACTTACATCAGGACAGAAAGGGGGGTCTAACATATTTGCTTCTAGCCTGCTGAAGTTAATGTCCTTGAACACCGGGTGCTGCTTCACTCCAGCAGCTCCATCGCCCATACAGCCCAGCCGTTCACTTGGATCTTTGGTGAGTAACTGCACGAGAGGCAGAAATAGTCAATTTAAGCTCCTAGGATAAAAATGAAAGCCCCAGTGTGCCCTCTTTAATAACAAAGAACGAGGAGTGGCAGAGAACATCTACATCTGAACAAACACGTCCCTCTAGTGTCAAAGTGTGAATTTAGACATCATTAATTTGGTTATAGGATGCTTCACAAAAAGTTTGTCTTTAAGCTACCAATAAATGAGGGCTTGGTGAAAGTGATCCTTCAGTAACAATTTTTTAATTATGTAAAAATTAAAGAATTTTAAAAAAAGAAAATAGAAACTGTTGAGAACTTCAGAGATACCATTTCAATGGTAAGCTATATTTATAATTAGAAACCATTTTTAATCTACTCATTAAATACATTACTAAGAAACTTGGGTGGGGCAAAAATTTAGCAAACCTTGTCTAGAAACTGCATATACTTAAAAAATAACAGAAAGTGTCTCTTTTCAAAGTATACTTACAAACATATTTACAATTATCACAAATTCAAATAAGCCTTCTTCTACAATTACTATCAATCTAAAAAGGGTAGGCTGCTGAGTGTCCCAGCTACTCAGGAGGCTGAATTGGGAGATGGCTTTGAACCCAGGAATTCGGGACCAGTCTAATCTTGGCAACATAGCAACACTCTCTCTATTAAATTTTTTTTGAAAAGGAAAAAAAGATTAGGCTGTGCTCAGGAGCGGCACATTAAAGATCTGGAACTCTACATACAGTGTAGAGAAGGGGTTGGGAAACTATGCCAGCTGCCTGACGGCCACTGGGGCATTGGCCTGTGGCTGTGTGTCGTAGTTGGGATGGAGACTTGCCAAGCCCAATGACGTCTACTTCGTGCCCTTACAGAAGAGTTTGCTGATATCTGACCTGGGCTGATGTCTAGCACCCACCACAGCTTCTCTGATATAAACTGATATCCCAAAGCCCAGAGGTATTCTAGTTTATCGCGTATGTCATACACACAATCTCACTTTCTGAGCTTTCCTTTCTCAGACTTCCTATGCTGAGCCTGTTCCAGGACCGTGTCCAGAAGGCAGAGTCCTACCGTCTTCAGGTTCCAGCTTCCTTGACCCCTACCCTCCAGCATAATAACCTCTATTTCTCCTTTATGATACTTATCATAACTGATGTCACAGCCTTTTCTGCACCACTTGAAGCTTCCCAAGGCAGAGGCCGTGTGTGACTCTCTTGCCCTCTGCTGTGTCTCCAGCACCTAGCCAGAGTAGGTGCTCAATAAAAATGTCTTCATTTGTAGGCTTTGTTAATCTAAACAAATCTGAAAATTAAGTGTAATGCTCAGTACAACTCCTCACAGCTCAGGGATTCCAGGACTGTTGCTAAGCCTGCTGCCACGGACGGTCTGAATGTCTGTGTCTTCTGAATGCAATAGTAGCAATAGGTGGGAAGGAAGTGATTAATAGGATTAGGAAGTGACTGGTGCCCTTCAAAGAGAGCTTGTTTGTCTTGTCCTCCATGTGAGCATACAGTGAGAAGGTGCCAGCTATGAACCAGAACTTGAACCCTCACCAGACACTGAACCTACCCGCATCTTGGTCTTGGGACTTCATAGCTTCCAGCTATAAGAAGTAAATTTCTTTCAATTACACATTACCTGCTCAGGAATTTTGTTATGGCAGCCCAAATGCACTAAGACATGCCCTGGTGGGGGAGTACAGGGTGGAGGACAGTTTGGCATCCATATATGGTCCCCAAGTCTGGGTACAAGTGCTCTTGCTGCTACTTAACAATGTGAGTGACAGAAATCAAACTTAATTTTTTTTTGACTGTGAGTGACTAGAAATCACTGTGAGGATTAACAAGATATTTGAAAATTACAAAAAGGTATCCAAACATCAGGTTAGTTTGATCCCCCCACCTGGAATTGCAGCCAAAAGCCAACTAACTCTTCTTTTTCCTTTCCTACTGTCTCTCCATTGCACACCAGCCTAACACTGACCTTTAAACCAAACTTGGCTCATTCCTCCTCCCCTGCAGACACACAGGGAGCAGTGGCTGCAGGGGTACCCAGGCCCAGGTGACAGCAGATGAACAGGGCACAGAGTGGAGGCCTCCCTTGCCGACCCAGCTGTGCATGGCCCCAGCCCACGTCCTGCCCTGCGGATGCTCTGCATGCCCTCCTCTCTATCTGCTCTTGTGCAAGCCACCTGTACATCTTGCACTGCCTCCTGCAGTCTGTTTGTTGGACATTCAATCCATTCTTCAGTTGTTTCTCCTCTCAGTAGTTTCTCAGGAGTAATGTGTTTCTACACCCTTTCCATGTGTCGTTTCATTTTGTCCACTTCACAATCCTGTTTTCTCACCTGCATTTTACAGATGAGAGACAGAGGCTCAGAGAGGTAAGCTCTCACAGAAAGCTGACACTCACCAGGCCGACTCCAGAGCTAGTGCTCCTACCCCTTGTTCAGACACCACTGTCTTGCCCAGAGCCTCCAGAGCAACAGGATTTCATCCTGAAAACCCATCAGCCCTTCTATCAAATTCTGCCTTTTTCATTGGCTGTTTTATGGGTTGTAGGCCTAACATTACACTGCGAGCTCTTCAGGGGCTGGATCTACTTCTATTTTCACATTCCTGAAGCCCCACCAGTGGTCCTGTGTGTAGTAAGCACTCAAGTAAATATTTATCACATAAATTCATATCACATGAATAGAAACTATAGCTTGGTCAAAATGTTGTGAAACACTGTCAGCTCCCAGCTGAGAGAAAAGGCTTTTCAGTGACAAGTCTGTGACGCCCATCACTTTGTATGAGGGAGACCAAAATAACTATTTCCCAGCTACAACCAACTCACAGAAGTTACTGGTATACTCCAGTAATAGGTACAATTGCTGGCAACTCCAACATCCATGCAGGGGACCTGTGCCTGCAGCTCATCCTCCCTGTCCCTGCCCCATGGCCCCTGTTCTCCCTGGGCCACACTTAGGCTCCTCAGTGCCAGCAGGCCCTCTTCAGCGCCATTCTTGATAGCTTTCTCTCTGTGTTCCTCCACTTGTTCTGACTCCAGCCTGGAGGTGCCCTGACTCCAACCACCAGTGACTCACAAAAGCCTGTGACCTACTGAATCTTCCCTTTTCCTGTGCCCTCTTCCTCATCCACTTAGACTCCATGGTCCACCATTCAGTCACTCCTCTGCACATACCTCAGTGACCCTGCCTCCCTCCTGCTTCGTCACACCATCCAGCCAAACCTCAGAGTTGGCAAAATGCGGCTCCTGCCTCTCTGAGCCAGTGTCCATCTGCAAATCCACTTGTACCTCCAAGGAATCCTCCTCTCCTCCCTAGTCCTTCAGCCTCATCTCCTCCAGATGGTGCTTCACACCTTCTCTGCCCTCACACTCCCAACACTTCCCTCCCCACTCTCGCCTTGTTGTAGCTAAGGACCTGAGAAAACAGAAGCTCCTTACCATGCCCACTCTGCCATCAGCTGCATGCAGATTCAGAGGGGAGAGCACGACACACCCTCACCTGTGCACTGGCTCCCATCCTTCTCTCCGCCCAAAGCCATTGATCCAGTGAGGCCCCTGCCCAGAGCACTTCTGCTCAGGCTGTCAGGTGGGAGTCAACTTGGATCCTTCCCCTCCTCATCAGCAAATCCCACAGATCCATCCATAATCTGACCACTCCTCACATCTGCTGTGCCACCACAGAGGTCTCTGCCACCCCCATCTTCACTGATCCACTGCAAAGCCCCAGCCGGCCTCTCTCCTTCCAGCCCTCTCTCTCCTAGATCCTGCCAACTGTACCATTTCCACATCCCCTGCCAGGTTTCCTGATTATCCAGATACTGGTCACCCTCTGACACACTAGCCTCCTTTGTTCTGTTTACTGTCAATTTTCACCCACTCTGCAAACAGAATCAGAGCACCAGGAGGACCTGGACTTTGGTCTGTTTTACTCACTGCTGTACCTCCAGTGCCTATGACAGTGTCTGGAACATAGAAGATGCTCAATGAATCCTTGTTGAATAAAAATAAATGAAGAAAATGTGCTTAAAATTATAAACACTGATTTAAGATAAGTAAATAGCAGAGAGCTTCTCTTATTGATTCAGTGTCTAGGCACCTGGGGTGGTGAAACAGTCCTTTGCAGATGTAATCCAACTGCTCCTGGCTCATTCTGTGACTGTGGGCCAGGCTTACCTTTCTGGGCCTCACTGTGGCTCACGGATACCTGTGTGAGCCTTGAAGGCCCTAATTCAATGAAGAAATGTATCTGTGTAGCCCCCGTCACAAAGCCAGACCTACAGCAGGCCTCTCAGACCGTGTCAGCAATTGGTTTAAAGAAACTAAATAGGAAGAGACAGTCTTGCCATTTCAAACTAGACTAGCTTTATGTTTAATTTCATATGAAGTTAGTCAACGAAACAAGACTCAGTCGTTTTTTGAAGACACAATAACCTCAGCACAACTCTTCCTTTCAGTAGCATCGTCTGAGAAACTGATGAGAACTGTATTTATTCTGCTTTGCTCTAATTGGTCAGAATCTCCCGTATCAGGTCTGGAAACTTTTATCTCTGCTCTCTGAGCTGAGGTGAAATTCCCTTGGCAAGCATACCAGGAAGGAGGCATTTACTAAGAGTCATGGCTGAGCTCTCCTGGACCTGGATTCTTACTGTTGGGCCAGGGGCTCAGGGCGCTGGGCTGCCTGCATGCCTACTGCCTGTCTGTCTGTCTGTGTGACTACTGGTTTTTTCAATCAGTGAAATAATTAGTGTGAGTTGGAAGTTTATTGCCCCACTTCTCAGAGCCTGACCCACCATCTGGCAGATAGATTTGGCGTCCATTGAAAACTTCTTGGAGTACTCCTCAGTGACCTCCTTCACTCTTCGGTCGATCTCTTCCCGTTTGACTTTTTCTTTGAGTTTTCTGAATGGAGAATGTCCCTGAATCATTTCATATATCAGACAGCCAAGTCCCCACCAATCAGGACTAAATGTGTAATGTTCATTATTGAGAACTTCCGGAGCTACATAACAAATACAGGACATTTAATTACATTAAATTTTGGGTTTAAATTTTCCTATAATTAATTCCAAATAATTCATTATAATTTTAATGTTTGATAAAACATGGTGAACCTTAAAAACATTATACCAAGTGAAAGAAGTCACGAAAGTCTGAATATCATACGATTCTATTTCTATGAAATAGACAAACACACAAATGCAGAGACTGAATGTAAACTCAGGGTTCCAGGCCCGGGGGTAAAAGCTGAGGAATGGGGAGGGGAGAATTGTCAATGGGTATGAGGTTTCTTTTTTGAGGTGATAAAAAATGTTCTGAAATTAGGAAGTGGTGATGATTATGTAACTATAAAATACTAAAAGCCACTGATTTACACACTTTAAACTGCTGGCTTTTATGATGTGTGAGCAATATCTCAATGAAGCCGTCACTTTAAAATGTTTGTGCATCTACCCTGGATGGCCGGACTGCTGCAGAGTGAAAAGTGTGGGAAATGTGCTGCAGAGGCCTGCCTGCAAGGGGAGGGCATTCCCTCTACTCAGAGCCAACCCGCAGGTGCCCCAAGTGCATTGCCAGCTGTTCCCATGTTAGTGGAAACCCAGTGTCCAGTGAAGGTAAGAGAGTGGGCTTGGGGTCTTCCTGCAGCTGCCTCGGAGGCCATCGGGGAAGGGCTGGCACTGCCCTCAGATCTGTGGCATCACCAGAGCAGGGTGATTTCCTGGGGGAGGCAGGGTGGCACCCACACGCACAGGATGCTGACAACATGAGGAGACACATGGCTTTGTCCTGACTGCGCCCTCATGTGTCCGTGTAACCTCAGGACTCAGAGCCCTCCATGGGACGACTGCAAAGGCGGCCTTTCACGTACCCATGTAACCGACGGTTCCGACTCTTCCTCGAACCGTCTCTCCTTCTGGGATTTCCAGAGCCAGACCAAGATCTGAAATCCGGATGTGTCCTGTGTTCAAATATAATATACAAACCACAGGGAGAAGTAATAGCATTTTAGCAACAATAACAACTGGAAGAAAGACCATCTTGAAAGCCATGGATGAGGGCTGAGGATGTAGCTCAGTGGAAGAGTTTGCCTACCATAGGTTCAATCTCCAGTACAAAAAAAAAAAGCCTTGACTGAAGAAATAGCATTTTATACTCTAAAACCTTTAAAACTTACACTCAACTTTTTCACACTTAGTAAAATTTCATATAGTGCATTGAGCTTCACTGACAACATGAAATGAGATCTATGCCTGGGGAAGCCCTTAATAACACACGACCACTGGATAAAGACAGAAGCAGTGTGCTCATTATTCTACTTCTATATAACTATCAGGGACATCCATAAAAATAAAATGAACATTACATCAGCCACAAATAGCCCCTAAACACTTTCTATCAGAGTGCCAGTATGCTTATACACAGGGACAACTATATACAAGTGATACGGAGCCTTTGCGGAGAACAAATGCTAATAGTGTCAGGGAAATAACAAATAAAATTAAGGTGCTTCACTTGGAGCACTATACTGTATGTGGATGCCTTGTATGTGGGAGGAAATAAATATTTGCTGAATTCCTATGACAATAACAAATTATACAAAGTGTTCTCATAAGGACACCTGTTCCTGGATTTGGGCCCACACCCATAACCCATAACCTCATCTTATTTATTTATTATTTTTTTGCAGTGCCTGGAATTAAACCTAGCCCTCACACATACTAGCCAAGTGCTCTACCTCAGAGTTACACCTCCAGCCCCTAAAAAACCTCAATTTAATCTTGGTTACTTTTGGTAAGTCCTCATCTCCAAATACAAGCACTCTCTGGGGTCCTGGAGGATTAGAACTTTGTGAAAGTTGCCAGAATCAAATATGAGTCACTGAGTCCAACTCACACAGAATGGAGCAGGGTGAGGAAGCCATGAAGTGGGGTTCTCTCACATGATTGGCTCAGTAACACCAACTATCAAGCTTGCTACCTGCCACACAGGACGACAGCTTGCTGCCTGTTCAGGGACACTTGGCCAGCACATTGTACTGATGAACTAAGCTGTATCCCAGTTCCCTGCCTTTAAAAATCCTTGTCTCCACGGAGATGCCTGGGACCCTTGAGAGCCAGCACACGTACTCCAGCCTCCCGGGTAGCTGTAGACAACAGGTGTGCACCACTGCAACCAGCTGTTGGTTGAGATGGGGTCTTACAAACTATTTGGACCATGATCCTCTTGATCTCAGCCTCGCGAGTATCTAGGATTACAGGCCTGAGCCATTTACGCCCAGCTAGACGCACTCTTTTTTTTTTTTTTTTTTTTTTTGTGGTACTAAGGTTTAAACTCAGAGCCTACACGTTGAGCCACTCTACTTGTGATAAGTTTTTTCAAGGTATGGTCTCACAAACTATTTGCCTGAGCTGGCTTCCAGCCATGATCCTCCTGATCACTGCCTCCTGAGTAGCTAGGATTACACCTGGCATAAATGTACTCTTAACATGCAGTCTAGCACTTGTGTGCCTTAGTATTGACTCAAAGTGAAAATTTATGCCCACATAAAAACCTGCATATGTGCATTTATAGCAGCTTTACTCATCACTGTCAAATCGTGACATCAACCAAGATGTCAGTAGGCACATGGCTAAACTGTGACCCATCCAGACAGTGGAATATTATTCAGCACCAAAAAATAACCTGTCAAGCCATGAAAAGACATGGAAGAAGCATATATATTACCAGGTGAGAGAAACCAGAATGAAAAGGCTATATATTATGATTCACAACTATGACATTCAGGAAAAGGCAAACTACGGAGAAAATAAAAAAGTCAGTGGTTTTCAGGGAGAAGAGAAGGAGAGAAGACTAAGTGTAGCAACACAAGACGTTTAGGTAGTGAAAAACTCTGTATGATACAGTAATGATGCACACAAGCCAAATACACTTGTCAAAATCCATAGAATAGGACCTGGGGGTGTGGCTGAAGTGGTAGTGTCTGCCTGGCAAGTGTGAGACCCTGAGTTCAAACCCTACAGCTGCCAAAAAATAAACCCAGAGAATATGTAACATGGAGGAGCCCTGATGTGGATGATGTGCTTTGGCTAATGGTAATGTGCAATACCAGCTCATCAGTGTACCACACCAATACAGGATGTAAGTAATAATGTGACTATGTTTCTAAATTCCAGCAACATAAACAAAAAAAATGGAAATTTAAAAACGACCTCACTAAAAACCATCAAATAACTAAATGGGTAAGATCTTTGCAATGAAAACTACAAAGCAAGCTGGGTGTGGTGGGGTGAGCCAGCTACTTAGGAGGCTGGGGCAGGAGAACCGAGTTCAAGGCCAGCCTGGGGCAACTTAGTGAAATCCTGTCTCAAAGTAAAAAGGGCTGGGGATGTTAGCTTGGTGGTAAATCACTTGCCTCACACTTGTGAAACCCTACAGTCAATCTCCAGTACCACAGAAAACAAAAAAGAAAAGGAAGGAAGGAAGGATGGAAGGAAAAAGAAAAACTACAAAGCAATATTGAAAGTAACAAAAGTAGACCCAAATCTACAGAACTATAGGCAACGTTTGTAAATTGACTCGACATGGTGAAGAGGTCAGTTCTGTGGAGGTTATTCTATAGATTCCAAACACTTCAGTCAGACTCCTAGCACATTGCTGCTCTTTCAGGTTAGCTGTGGAAATTCATATGAAATGGAAAAGTCTAAGAATGGCTAAGGCAATCTTGAAGGTCTGCAGTGTGGGAGAAGTTACCTAGTAGAATCAAGACTTGATAGAGCTCTAGTTGTTCAGAGCTATGGTACTGCCCCAAAGATAAACAAAAGACCAAGGAACAGAACAGACTCCAGATTTATGAACAGACCCACCCACGGAGAGACACTGGGTTTCTCACAAAGTGGAATTCCATAATAGCATGGGGAAAGATGACCCTGTCTATGACTGTCTATGGCACTGGGCCAGCTGGTACACACGTGAACAAATGTGCCTTACCTGCTACTCTACTTTATATACAAAACCAACTCTGGAGTTACAGGAAAGATAAAACAACGATGATGTTCTTAAAGGGAGATGTAACATTTTATGGTGCAGGAGTAGATGAGATTTCTTAAGCAAAACATAAAAAGCACTAACTAAAATGGAGAATGTCTGGGACTTCTACTTCCCACCAAGAGTAACTGATGCAAAAATTGTTGCCTTTCTACTGTAACAATTAAGATCTGGTCATTAGGCAGCAGAGAACTGTGGTGCCAAAGAAAAGAAACACAACAGCTAGCCCCATAAGACTGTGGCCCAGGAAGTGAACCTCAGCAAAGGTGGGGGTGGGAGGGTTCTTGCTAAGGCAAGAAGGCAGAGATTAGAATTTGAGAATGTTGGGTCAGCTCAAGTACATGGAGTAAGGTTCTGGAGAGAAGGGAGCTACACAGAGAAAGACCTACTGACCATCCATACAAAGCTATCCATTCTGCAGGAGGCCTGCTCTCCTCCCCTGCTGTCACTCCTGCTTTCTTCTGAGCCTTCTCGATGTTTTTGTATGCACTCAGAAGCAGACAGAAGTGCACAGTGTTTCCTCTCTTCTCACATAAAAGGTAGCACACTACACACATTGCTCTGCAACTTTACTTTTTCCCATTTTCCAACACACACTGGGGACCACTCCATGTACCACACATATGTATCCTCCCTCTTGGTTTGGTTTTCGTTTGTTTGTTGGCTGGTTTTTCTTTTTGGAGGAGGGGGAGGCAGTACTGGAGTTTGGGCTTTGCATACTTGGGAGGCAGGTGCCCTGTCACTTGAGGCATGTCCTAGCCCTCCCTCTCCCTTTAAAGCTGCTTCAATGCTGCCTCTGGTCAACAGTGCAGTACAGCACAGTATGAACCACAGGCTTAAGAGCCAGGAGCTGTGGACAAGTTACTGCCCACACCTTACATAAAATGAGATTTTTAGCAGCTTTCTTCCTCACAGGGTGGGTGTTTTGCATAATTTAGATAACAAGCAGAAAGTCCTTAATAGAAGCACACAAGGAAGCCACACATGAAGTGTCCCATGTCTGCTGTCCCTTCTGGACCCTGCCTCAGATGCCTGCTCTCCTTTGCAGCAGTCATTTGAAACTGGTCTCTCTGCTAGACTGTAAGACCTTTCTTAGCCATTAAGAACCACTTGAGTGGAGCTCTCTCCCAACACTGCTTATGTGGTTGATGAGAAAACAACTGGCACCCTCGCAGTTCCATCTGAGGTAGAACCATCATCCAGAGACACTAAGGTCAGAGTGGGCACCCAATGCTGCCAACAAGGAGCTGACCCAACCCACTATCACAGGGTCCCACACAGCCATCTACTCTGTGACATGTGCCACACGACAACACAACAGCATCAAGGGCAGAATGCCAATGTCTAGGGTATGAAAACAGAAATCTAAGAAATAAAACAAGGTGTCTGTCAACAGCAAGGAACAGGAGGGCAAACGCCTTACTTTGGGTTTACTTTCCATGTGCTTCAAAAACTCAACCGTGACCATCTCTGCTTCTTTCCTAACGCAAGTGAATAGCAATGTTGTCTACACTGTATTTTTTAAAGAACACATACAAAGAATTTCTCCTGTTTCCACCATTCTCCACTAACTAGCTAAGTCTACGTCTAAGGCTACATTAACTTTCTGTACCCAAGTCCCTTAACAAGTCTATGCTTAGACAAAAGGCTTGCCCACTTACCCCGATCATCCAGGAGGATATTCTCAGGTTTTAAGTCTCTACAAGGAAAGAAACAAAAGAAAGCTCAATTATTCAGAAGTCAACACTGTGATTCCAAAGTACTCAGAAGGAACAGCCACAGATGTCTCCATGGTAACGAGCAACAGCCAGATGGGCAGAAAGTGAAACCACCCCTTATTAGAATTTCGTGTTGTTACAGGCTTTAGGGACAAAACAAAACAGGTCAAGAATTCTCAAAATTCATCTCAGCAAACAACTTACATATGAGGAGTGTAAAATGAACTGCTCTGCATAGTCATACAGACTGAAGACAGTTCCGTGATTAAATGTGCACTCCAGTTGTAAGGAAAGCAATCAGTCCTTAATGAACTTGCTCAACCTCTGAAATATATTTTAAGCTTCAGCAACTGAAACTTTTCTGTGTTGGAAGGTTCATGCTAGGGTCAGGCTGACATGGACTCAAACCTTGGCTCTGTCTCTCATCAGCTGTGTGGTCCTCCCCTCTCCAAGCTGTGGTGTCCTCATCGCCTGTCCCATCACACTGGGGTTACTGAAGGGTTAGAATGAGACCATGTCTCCCAGAAAGAAGTGCATAATAAAGCAATGTTATTTGCAGTTCATGGTAAATGTAGAGCAGGACACCTCAATGTTTTAATAAATTTAAATCATATAAGAGTAAAACAGTGCTAGGGATAGAAATCAGGGCTTCACACATGCTAGGCAAATGCTCTACCACTGAGCTATACCACCAGCCCTCAGATTAAAATATCTTAAACCTAACATCTCATACAACTTATTTGGGTTATTTTCCCCTTCCAGAGAAAATGTCACTTTGAAAGGATTTATATTTAATTCTGATTTCATGTTTGTCCCTGTGAGAACAACCTAGCTGCTCTGTGGATGTGTGAGGACATTACAAGTGTGAAGGGGGCAGCCTAAAGCCCGCAGAATAGGACAAAGACCCTGGAAACAATGCCACCACAGCAAGAGAAGGGGACGGAGGGAAACACAGGGAAGCCCACAGAACCAAAGTGAGCACTGGCCAGTGTCACAAGCAGTCACCGTGAGGACCATCTGCTCAGGAGCTCTTGGGTAAAGTGTCACTGCTCAAAGCACACCTTGTGGGTAGATGCCGAGGGCAGAGGGCAGGGCTGAGGGTGGGCGGGAGGTAGTGGGACCTGAATGATGCTCCTGCCTGTGGTGCTGTCTGTGTTTTCTACCCAGGTGGCAGAATGATGAGCATTTTTTCTTTTATTATGTATTAAAAGACTACTACTAAATGTCACTAAAACCTAAGCAGCCCTCCTTGAGATGGAACTTCTGCCATCTCAACTCTCCATTCTTTACACCCAGCCTCAACTGTACACATGCCCACTTGTCTTATTTTATTATTATTTTTTTGCAGTACTTGTGTTTGAACTCAGGGTTTCACCCTTGCTAAGCAGGTGCTCTACACTTACGACATACTACCAGCCCTTTCTGCTTTCTCTGGGTAGACCTGGACCACAATCCTCCTATTTATACTTCCCAAGGTGGGGTAACAGAACCTTTAGTTCTGTGCACAACTGTCATGATCAACTATAGATACTCTTATTCTGAAAAGAGGCATGCTGTAGATATTTCACAAAATGGTGATGGTGGTGGAGGTGATGGTAGTAGAGGTGGTGGAGATGGAGGTGGTGGAGATGGAGGTAGTGGTGGTGGTGGTGGTGGAGGTGTGGAGGTGGAGGTGGAGGTGGTGGTGGAGGTGGTGGAAGTGGTGGTGGTGATGGCGGTGGTGGAGGTGGAGATGGAGATGGTGGTGGAGGTGAAGGTGTGGAGGTGGAGGTGTGGAGGTGGAGGTGTGGAGGTGGAGGTGGAGGTGGTGGTGGAGGTGGTAGAGGTGGTGGTGGAGGTGGTGGAGGCGGAGATGGTGGACATGGTGGAAGTGGTGGAGGTGGAGGTGTGGAGGCGGTGGTGGAGGTGGTGGGTGTGGAGGCGAAGGTGGTGGAGGTGGTGGTGGAGGTGGTGGTGATGGTGGAGGTGGTAGAGATGGTGGAGGTTTGGAGGTGGTGGAGGTGGTGGTGGTGGTGGTGAGGTCGTGGAGGTGGTGGAGGTGGTGGTGGTGGAGGTGGAGGTGGTTGGTGGTGGAGGTGGTGGTGGTGGTGGTGGAGGTGGTGGTGGTGGTGGAGGTGGTGGTGGTGGTGGTGGTGGTGGAGGTGGAGGTGGAGGTGGTGGAGGTGGTGGTGGTGGAGGTGGTGGTGGTGGTGGAGGTGGTGGTGTGGTGGAGGTCGTGGAGGTGGTGGAGGTGGTGGAGGTGGTGGTGGTGGAGGTGGAGGTGGTTGGTGGTGGAGGTGGAGGTGGTGGTGGTGGAGGTGGAGGTGGTGGAGGTGGTGAAGTGGTGGTGGTGGTGGTGGTGGTGGTGGTGGTGGAGGTGGTGGTGGTGGTGGTGGAGGTGGTGGTGGTGGTGGAGGTGGTGGTGGAGGTGGTGGTGGTGGAGGTGGTGGTGATGGTGGAGGTGGTAGAGATGGTGGAAGTTTGGAGGTGGTGGAGGTGGTGGTGGTGATGGTGGAGGTGGTAGAGATGGTGGAGGTGGAGGTGGTGGTGGAGGTGGTGGTGGTGGAGGTGGAGGTGGTTGGTGGTGGAGGTGGAGGTGGTGGGGTGGTGGTGGTGGAGGTGGAGGTGGTGGAGGTGGTGGTGGAGGTGGTGGTGATGGTGGAGGTGGTGGTGATGGTGGAGGTGGTGGTGATGGTGGAGGTGGTGGTGGTGGAGGTGGTGGTGGTGGTGGAGGTCGTGGAGGTGGTGGAGGTGGTGGAGGTGGTGGTGGTGGTGGTGGTGGAGGTGGTGGTGGTGGTGGTGGTGGAGGTGGTGGTGGTGGTGGAGGTGGAGGTGGTGGTGGTGGTGGAGGTGGTGGTGGTGGTGGTGGTGGTGGAGGTCGTGGAGGTGGTGGAGGTGGTGGAGGTGGTGGTGGTGGAGGTGGAGGTGGTTGGTGGTGGAGGTGGAGGTGGTGGTGGTGGAGGTGGTGGTGGTGGTGGAGGTCGTGGAGGTGGTGGAGGTGTGGAGGTGGTGGTGGTGGTGGTGGTGGAGGTGGTGGTGGTGTGGGGTGGTGGAGGGTGGTGGTGTGGTGAGGTGGAGGTGGTGGTGGTGGTGGAGGTGGTGGTGTGGTGGTGGTGGTGGGGTCGTGGAGGTGGTGGAGGTGGTGGAGGTGTGGTGGTGGAGTGGAGGTGGTTGGTGGTGGAGGGTGAGGTGGTGGTGGTGGAGGTGGAGGTGGTGAGGTGGTTGGTGGTGGTGGTGGAGGTGGGGTGGTGGTGGAGG